TCCCTTAGTACACAAGCAAGCAGGGATACCCTGGCCCGCTCATGGACTGCGATACCATTAGGTGCCTGTGGCAAAGGCAGAATATGGTCCATGTGTCTTTTCCTGGGGCTGGAAAGACAATGTCTGTCGCAGCTTGCATGTGTCAGGAGTCACCGGTGTAGAGGCCGTTCAGCTGTTTACGTCCAGGCACATTTTCCACTGCTCCTCCTTCCCCCCAGTGCTGCTTTCACTGGCGCAGGGACAAGCAGGGTTGCCTCACTCTTTAGCAGGCCAGGAGACCCAGTTGGAACATGCGGATGGGTTGAGGGGTGAAGTAAGTAATGCAGCACATGGTAATCTCATATGAGGATCGCAGGCTTGTGCTCACAGAACTGCAGGCTCGTTGCTCCGTGTCACTGAACAGGCCTTGTTTCACACCACGCTGATATGTGTGATGCCCACAGGTACTAGTCTCTCACTTTTGCTGTGTAATTGTGCTTGCCAGAGTTATGGGTGCTAACGTATTCCCAGAATTTGATTTTGGCACCAGACCTTTGCTCTGGGTCTTCATACATGTTTCTCTTTATCCGATGGAAGGGAGTTGTCCTGCTGCTTGCGCACAGTGTGAGGATGCACAGGGGCAAGTGGTCCCTTAGAAATGGTAGGGAAATGGCCAGACATACCAAGTGAAGAAGAGTGCCTTCGGTTATGGGAACATGGGGAGAGAGGGCAGATGAAGGGAGTCCTGAAGTCAGTCCGTGGTTCACTGTTTTGTCCAGAAATGCAGGACTCGGTGTAATTTGTCTCTGAATTGGATGGGGAACTGGCTGGATGCTTTATTTATTTATTTATTTAAGCTTGGGTATTTGTTCACTAAATACTTGGATCTTCTACAGCTCACTTGTCTACAGAGCAAGCTGATAACAATTGTTTCAAGATTTCTCCAGCCCTTATTCTGCAATCCTGAATGAAATTGAACCTTATTCTCCATAAATAACTTTTCTCATTCCCCAGCTGTCTCCTCGAGCCACTTCTCTCCCGACCTCTCACTCACTGACTCTGTACTGACCTTGCACTTACCCCCAGCCGTGCTGCCCATGCGTGCCCTCCTATTCTTCCTATGATCTTTTGCCCTATTTTATTTTTTGAGTAATAGGATCCACCATTTCCTGAGCTGCACTTCAAATAAGCTTGAAAAAGACCCTTCTTCCTCAAACAGAATGGGTTCAATGTGTGACAGGCAAAAATGACTACAACTAGTGTGCAATTTTGATGTTCTCAATCCTCTTGTCCCTGGTTCTAGACAGTGGGTAAATGTCTTGCTTTCAACAGTATTTTTGTATTGGCAATGAAAAATAATAGCAATTTTTTTGAATTCAAGAGAAATGTGCCAGTACCTGCACCAATATTTTTTTCAAATACAAATTTTTGTCTTTCATCAGGGTAGCAACAACCAGTAATTTCTCAGCAAGTTTTTATTAGACTGCTAAGGACAACTTGGGCATTTTGTGATCACTTCATTCAAGGCAGTGGGAATTATCACATGAAAAACTTGCACATTAATTATAATTAAATATTTTAGACTGTAAGTTGAATTCATCAGATACTATTTTCTTAGGATCAGTATGGAAAAGCTTTCAAAAAAGAGCAAGGAGGTCATGTGTGGCATATTTACGTGCAAAGTTTGTTGTCTTTTCATACTGTTGTTATGCAGCACTGTGTTTAGTAGCTTTTCCCCCAATATTTGCTTGTCTGTTATTTTGATAAATTGCAGTATTGGTTGAATAGGAACTTTTTTACTTCCAAAACAAAGTGTAGATCTGTTTTTCATACTAATACTAAATATATATGTATATACATTTTATTTCTCTGTAGCTGCAAATCAAATCTGTTTATTTTTACAAGTAGAAAGCTTAACTCTAGGTGTCAGCACTGCAAACTGAATGGCAAACTCTGAAAAAGATGCTTTGCTGTCTTTGACTTCTCCAGTGCCACCAGAAATAATGTGCAATAGGAATTTTGCTGACAGATATGTTGAGGCTGAAGAGGAGTGCCCACATGTGTGGTTAATGACACCGGTATGAGTTGTGGCATTTCTTTCCTATACAACTTCTTTCTAGCTGCACTTAAGTGTGTCCTTAGCAAAGGAATGTGGTAAATAATAAGTTAAATCTAGAGAAAGAGTGAGGACAAGATTCCTCTCCAAATTTCCACTACTTAAAGCAGGTATATTTAATGTGGCCCTTTTCCTTCATTTCTTGTTAAATGCTCATCTTAAGTAGGTATCCAAAGTGATGAGAGAGCGCAGGAAGCCACAGTCATTTTCTGGCCCTAATAGGCTCTATAGATCAGCTGAGTTAATGGGGTGGATGAAGTTTATGTGGCTATTGCTTAGACTCTGGAACTGTACAGTGGGCTAGAGACCAGGGAAAGGCAGGCTTTGCTTTCTAGCCTTTGACCCTAGCAATTACTAGAAGTAAATAAAAGCAATTTAACAGTGCAGGTACTGTCGTCATCCTGAAAAACCGCATGTCTCAAAAGCACTGGCTATCAGCTTTGCATCTCCTCATCTCGTATGGGACTTGCGTCGACATCAAATGTTGCCGTTCCTTAAATGGACAAAGAGCTGCTTTTTGCTGCTTTTGCTCATATTCATTACTTATCTGTACATTTTGCTTTTAATTATTAGCTGATGGCATTTCTCATGTAGCTAGGGTACTGTTCAAAGGTTGACTGTTTTAAACATGCTGAAGTCCTCATGCTGAATTGGATTCGCTTGAAACTGTAATTCTGACAAGGGAGTGAAAAAGCATTTGTGATTTAAACTTGGAGTAATTTGAACAGTTTCCTCCTGTGATACTTCATTTTTCCTTCTCAAACACTGGAGCTTATTTACAGAAGGCACATGCCTGACATCTGGTTTTCTCTTAAGTTTCTCTAAAGTTTGATCTGGCTGTCACCTAGACTGCTGTCACCTCTGAGCTGTTCCTCAACTAGTGGGGGGAAAAAAAAGCCGTATCTTAAAGAAGCAGCTCTATCAGTAATTGAGAGTAAGTTTGGCAGGAGCTAAAACTGACCTGCCTAGAAAAGTGCAAAGCATATGGAAAATAACACCAGGGCTCCCGTGAGCCCCCTGGTTGTATGTAGTCTGTGTTACAGTAAGATGTTTACAGCAAGTTGTCTGTCTGTCATCAAACCTGAACTAGAATTGAACTAGTCCATTTGGAGTATTTAGTGCTTTAAACACAGTTTTCTCTCTCAAAGTACATAAAACATGTATTATATCACTTCAGCTTACTACCCCCTAATCTCCAGGTTGTCTAGTCTCCTAACTTGCCTGTATTATAGGGAGCTACAATTAGCTCCATGTTACAGAAAAAGTTTGTAGTTATTTCTTAAGGCTTAGGGTCTGGCCCTCCTCATGGCACAATTCTTTTCTGCATAGCTTTTACTTTCAGAAATATTTCCAGGAAAATCGGCATGACCAGAACTATGAAAAGGAAAGACCGTGGGAAACAGGGGGCTCTGGCTTGTTGTTCTCTTCCTGAAGAGCAGAACTGAGCATCCTGATGAGAAAGCTCATTGCTGGCTCTCTTGGGCTTGCTCAGGTTAGCCTTTGTACTGACAAGCCATGGTGCAGCGTGGTTGAACTTCTGATCCTGCAAATGGAGCCAGGTTAAGAATTCCACATAGTGGTGTGTTTTCCTCCCACCACCCCCTTCTTCTTCCAGTCAAGAGGAGAGAGGTGATTGGTACTGAACTGGTTGGAGGTGTGCTGTAATGAGGTACCCATGTAACAGTATCTTAGACTTCATATCCCGCTGTTGAGATGTGTCGCTTGTGTGTGCACTGTCTGCTTGGGGTGCACTTGTCAGCTGGATGCTGGGGCTTCCTGTTGGGCAGGTGTTAATTTGTAGCCCCCTGCAACTCTTACACTTGGGAGAGCTGCTTTAATTAACCCCACGCTGAGCGTAGCCAAACCAAGGACTCCAGGACTAGTTTTAAGAAACCCGAGCACTTCAGTTAAGCACAATTTACCCTCGGGGCGCCTGACCAAGGCTGGTCGCGTGGCTCGTGTGGGGCAGTGCTCGTGCCTCAGCGCCGTGAGCCTCCTGCTCGGCCGGGGGGCAGGAGCAGGGCGGCAGCCCCCGCGCTGAGCTCGGGGGCCCGGGGGGGCTGCGCTCCCCGGCTCGGCGGCTCCC